AGTATACAAACTCCCAGCATGGATGACAGATGATGGCTTAACTCTGTTAGTTATTTGGGCCATTCTTGTCTTCATGTAAATCTGCTCCCTTACAGCTTTCTGACTGAGCAGGATCATCTTTCCTTCCACCAGCTGGGAAGATTCAGCCATTTCAGTATTTCCTTTACAGGCTGCTCAGAACTTGTACCTTTCTGTTTCCCAGACCTAGGCTAAACCACCTTTCCAGGCTCAGATCAAATCATCTAGGGGGACAGCAGAGAAAGTACACCTCCTTCCTACATGGAAGACCCTTTCTGAGTATGGGCAGAGATGCCTTTTTCAGCTCTTGTCTTTCTGGGGCACTCACCTGTTTGTGTGGATGCTAGTTACCTCTGGAAATGTCAGCTCAAGGAGTCTCTTTTCTGACTCATCCAAGAAGCAGACACCTTTCCAATTTACGGCAACAATAAAGTGGTTCTTGGGCAAGCTGGGACCTGAAAATGAGGAAAAAACTCCTTATCAATGCTATACAAGTCCTCCTCTATTGGTCTTTTATCTGTTCTCTACTCCCAGGCTCCAGGTATTACCTGAAAACTTAGTGACTTCAAAGAATCGGGAAAAAAGCAAAGGCCACTGAAACCGAGCAAAATCTACAAGTTGTTCCTTCACAGTCTGACGGGAGAGACGGTCCTGTGTATATGGAGCCTGAAATATAAAAAGATAACCAAGGTTTTCTCAGTAAAATCTGGTTTGCATGATCAGCAGACAATAAAGAGCAGGCCTGATCCTAGACGTTCCCAACAGCCCTCTGCTGTAACTGGTGTCAAGGGTACCTGGAGAAAGTCAAATCAGGAGCAGCCTCCAGAGGCCTAAGCCACATGCAGCTGAGGTTGCCCACAGGCATGTGGATTCCAGATTTCCCTCAAATCCCCACTGACTTACCTGTTCAGAGTCTAACACACTTTGGGTGACATGGAAATAATTCAGGTAATCCATTTCCAGATCAAAACCAATATTTCATCCCAGGCCCATCCTGACTCAGTCGTCAGATGGGAGATAGAAAGCCTTAGATGATACTTTGTTCAGAGATTTAAAGACACTTTTTTCATTCTGCCCCCCCTGTTGAGCCCTATATGGAAGAGTGAGTGGAAAGGTTCTCTGATCCCCCAGCCCTAATTAACTATTTGGGCTATACAAACTGAGATGTTTTTCTTTCCTCCCCGAACACACTATTCATAAATGGAAATGGTGAAAGAAGCAGAAGCTGGTGCTCGAGAGTGGTTACCCAGCGGTGCCAGGCAAACCTCTTACCTTAGCATGTGCGTAGGTTATAAGGCTCACCCACTTTTCCAGGGGCTTGGACTTCAGCTGTTTCACTGGGATACAGTCATGGAGCACCTTCTGCACAAGTTCATTGTGGATGGAATCTCCAAACTGGATGTAACAATATTTTGCACCTATTTCCACCAAATCCTCCTCCTGAAACAATTAATCCATTTAAAAGAGGCCTAGAAAGATGTCACAAAGTCCAGATAGCTTCATTCAACCTTGAAGCCAGTTTAGAAATGGGGTTTTATCCATTTTTGTCTGGATAACTCTTGACAGTCATCCAACATAAGGAGAGATGAACTTCACACAATCATAGCATCAAAGAGATTATTAGCAAAGATATTTTAAAAGGACCCAAATTGTCCCTTTGGACATGCCACCAGCTGCCACATGAACTGAAAGTTGCTGAAAAAAAAATATTTATTAATTACAGCTGAGTGTGACAGCTGGCACAATCACCTGGACAACAATTGTTCATTAAGAAGGGAAGGGTTGTTCACAGCCACTAGAAACTTCATTCATCTTCCTGCTTTTTAATGTGGGAAATGTTAATATAGTTTTATCTCTTTAGGAGGATGAATAAGGCGACTCACCTTCTCACAACGATACTCTCCAAACCGGATGCCACGAATTACTTGGTGGTAAATGAGATCAGTGCTGATAGGATCCTCCTGGGAGTTGTGCCAGGGGGTGAAGATTTCCTTCCGAAAGTAGAGTCGCCAGGGTGCATTGCGTTCATGTGTGCCCCGCTCCTTCACTAGCTGTTCACACTGAGAGATGGCGTCCAGGACATGATCTCGTCCCCCACCCAGTGACCAGACCTGGAACAAAGGGACACTGTATTTACTGGCATGCCTACTTCGGATCTGAGTTAAGGACAATGAACCCAAAGCTCCTGGTCTCCTGACAGCAAGAAAAACTCTGAAAAGGTAAGCAGATGCACGTGCAAGATGTACTTTGGTAACTGTGTGTATTTTTATGCACAGGGATGGTATTGGGAAAAATAAGTTGGAAGTTAAGACAAAGCAGCTCTGGTTTGCAATCTTGTATTTGTCTCCTTGTACTTCGCTTATCCCCTGTATATCCCTTTAAGCGCATGCGCAAGTGTTGTTGTAATCTAACCAAAAATGCCATCTCTGAATTAATTTCTTTGCTATTGATGCCTAACCCTGAGCACCAAGATAGCATCCTGCTGTGTATGTCTGGTTTACAGCATTGCTGTAAAAAAAAAATGCAAAGGGAAGGAGAGGCTAAAATGCCAGCATGTGAGCTAACAGCATCAGCCCTGGCAAGGACCTTGGCTTCCAATGCCACATGATAGGGGCTGCATCAGCAGCACTATAGCACAGAACAAGAAAGTAATGTGCAGCAATGCAGGTGGGAATATGTCTTTGAGCAGAGATCCCTAGTGTATGAGACCTGCTAGTTTCACCCTGCTCCAGCAGTTCTGCTGTGCTGCATGCATGACGAGCAGGGGGGATCTCAGAACGTGGGGAGAGACCACAGTGCTGCACTGCCCATGTGTGGGAGCAGGGACCCTAGTCAATTATGTGACCTGGCAAAGGAAACCTTACAGGCGTGCAGCAGGAGCTAGCCAGCAGAAAGGCAGAATCGGATTATTAAGTCCTGAGATTCAGCTGGGATCCAGAACTGATTTGGTTTGAGAGTAGGACTGGGACAGGGGTGCTTCCAGAAGTTAGAGGGAGTCCTCAGTGAGGCTGGGTGGACTGCAGCAACTCTACAGAAAGAGAAGGGAGCTCTCATTCTATTTTTCTACACTTTACCTTATCAAACACAGCAATGTAGAGTGAAAAACCAAACACATCCTTCAGTTTGGTTTTATCTGCTATGAACTGACAGATCTCTTTGGCAATGGAAGCAGAGTCTGCAGGGACAGTGATGCTTTGGCCGTTCATCAGGGTGACATTAACCATAATGGGTTTCTTCTGCTTTGTTGCCTGTAAGTCAGAGTTAAATGAGAGAAACAAATTATGAGCAAACCTTACTTTTCTGTGAAAAATGATGAAGACATTTAGATTTAAGAGGTCCACACACTGTACACCCTAGTCAACAATCTTTGAGTGAATCTCCAATGCCCACACAGTTTCTTCGATGCATGGTGAGTCTTAAATATAAATTACATCCCTGGAGCTGCACTAGACTCAAATTCTCTCCTCCCCACAGCTCAGGGGAGCTGATGGTCACATAACAATGTGGACTGATAGACTTTTTGTGAGCCTTATTTGGCTTGATGACTTTTGGGTACAGCCTTGCATGCATCAGGGGAGAGATGGCGTGCAGCAAGTACTCTGCCCAGGGAGATGTGTGTTAGGCAATAGGGTCACTCAGATTTAGGAAGGAATTGAACTGAGGTCTTCAGTTGAAGGGGGGATGTGTGTGCGTGTGTGTGTGTGTGACTTCTAATTACTAGGGTGACATTTAAAGGAAGGGGGAGGGCGATATAGCTCTATCGTGCACACTTCCTCCCTCTGTTTTAAAAGCACAACTACTGCTTAGTTCTTTCCACAAATGATGGTATGAACTTCCCTAAGGAGGCGGTTCTGGCCTGTGGCTCCTGAGTGGATGGTGGCATCTCCCTGCAAATCACGTGTTACAGCTTTTAACTTATATCCTTCACTGGATTTAGGCTAACTGAATAGCCAGAAGAAGTGTATCTAAGAAGCTGCCCAGACCAAGGCAGCTGGTCATCAGTGCCCCTGGACAATTGATTTCTGTGATTGCACTTAGGAAAATCTCTTAGCACAGGTTAGTAAATGCAAGCCAGTATAAAATGATACAGATCAATATAATTAAGCAAAAAGGGAGCTGCTACCTGAAGTTCCAGCCAGCTCGGAGGTTCAGTCCGTGCTCCGTTGACATAGGTACGTCTCAGACGTTCAGCACAATATGGTGCATAGCCTGTGGGCCCGTGGTGGATGAAATTCAACAGGTACTATATGCACAGAGCATAAGAAAGAGTTAGGAAACACTAATCCTCATAAAACATGAGAAACCTTCTGCAGCTGATACACTAGATTAGAGTGATCAGTTAGCTTACAGTTCACCAGAAAGTATTAAAGGTTAGGGTTGGAATTAGTGTTTTGAAAAAGGAGGTTTGAGACACCAAGTTTTCCTTTGTTCTGCAGAGCTTTAGTCTAAAGAGGAAGACTTGTGTCAATCTATTCACCATGTTTAACTACACGATAAATATTAGATAGTGGAGACTTTATTCTTATGATTAGGTTACAGCAAGGGTTAGTGTTTCCAGTTGAAGACCCCGAAGTCTTGTGAAATTCTGTGTGAACAAAAGTGCTGGCAAGAGGGCTAATTGTAGGTTAGGACTGCTGATGATGGTTACTTTTAGTTTGACTAAGTTCTCTGACAATATCCATAGTTGAAGTCCATGATTAAGATTGGACATTGGAAGAGAAGGATTGGATAAACTCAGCTTTTGGAGTTTGTATGGCTCTGATATCTTGGGTGACATGGTGTAACCATGGACTTGTGTTTACATACTTGTATTTAGTGCAAGCATGGGTCAGTCACCTGGTTATTTAAATGATTAAGAATATTCCTAGAGATAGGGTATAGTCTTGTCTTTCATGAATTCTGCATGGTTCACAGTCTTTGGATGAAGACTGGTGTCAAAATATGTCTATGCCTCGTGTCTGGTTTGTTCCAAGTAGTGTCCATTTAGCAGCATTTATTATTAGATTAATCATTTGAGCAGGGTGTCAATAAAGCAAGGCTGAAGATTCGGGAATATCTATGGATTCTGTTTGCCTCTAAGATCTAGGAGGAAGGCTGATGTTAAGTTGCAGCCGCAGGTTGTTCACCACACTTTCCTGTGATGAAGCAGTTTTATGATCCATTTACATCTGGAAATTAATGACTGATGAATGATCAAAAAGCCAAAATCTCTACTGGATTTTGTAGGGCTTGGAGATGTAGGGTAAGAACTGGTAAAGTATGGGGGGTGATTTTATACTGGCCTCCTGAGTATATTTAATCACTAGGATTATATCTGGAGACACCTTTTAAATGTTGGAAAGGCAGAACTGGAGAGGTTAAAATTTGTCAGATTCTTTGCAGATTACAGATCTAAAATGAGAGCTGTGATCAACAATAGAATCCAACTTGTATGACATATAATGAAAAAGAATTAAATGTGAGTACAGCAAGCATTTATTTCAATTCCCAGAGAAGCATATGAGATGAGGTAGTTTCTGCTAAAATCACAGCACCAGCTGCTATGGCAGCAAAACAGTTTATGTGGCTATCTGTATCAAAACATCAAAATACACAACAAACTGTATCAGCTAAGGTGTTTAAGCTGCTGTAGGAAAGGTTAGCAGTGTACCTTCACAAATGTGTCTGAAGGAGGAAAGCAACCAAGGCAAAGTGACAGAAGGATCCAGCCTCGAGCATAGCTGCTCCTGTTGCTGTTTTCAGTGAGTTGTTTGCAAATCTGGCAATAAATCTCATCTCTGTAAGAAAACATGTGAAAGCAACAGATCATGATTCACTGTCTGAACTGTCTTTGGCTATGTTTCCAGGCATGATTGCAGCACGATGATGTAGATCTGAGCTAGGTTTAATCATTTTAGCCAGGATAGCACCTGTAATGTACCACAAGAAATAACTGTCTTGTCTTTGGCAGGAAAAGGCTCAGGGTATACTTACCGCCCTCTGCCACCCCTTGTAACTCGAGCAGTTCAAGTGCAATTCCCATGCTGGATTATCTCCTGTGACAAGCACGGGGACTGTGCAGGGGTAACTGCCAAGTCATGCAGCTGTGAAACGGCATTGCTGTCCCTCCACATGTGAAACTTGCTCTAAGCTCTACACTATGTGCCTTGTATCTCATGGCTCTTGCCTTTCTGCTTCTATGTGGATTTTGGGATAAGGAAAGGGGGGGACACTATTTAATTTTATATTTTTAGTAAACTTGGAGCGAGTCCTTGGACAGGAATGGACGAAAGGGTGCTTCAAAGCGAGCTTCTGAAAATGCAAGTTGCCTGCAGCAAGGACATATGGGTAACAGATGCAAAAATCTGCATTCAACCAAAACTGCTATTTAAAAATAATCTTCAATCTTCTGGACTCTTGGGACACACATTTGGCAAATCTGATGTGGGAGGACACAAGGTGGATGACGTTTTTGTTCCCAGATAGGACATATGATGAAACACAGACTGAGGGAGTAGATAATTAGCCTGTGGTGGTTATGATACGTTGATTGAATGCAATTTTTGCCAGCTAAGGATCTGCTTCAGGGAGCATGTTGACTGAAACAAAGCAACTATGTAGAGAGGGATGCAGCCCATGACTGAGGTCAAGGCAGGGCCTGTGCCTGTGGGCTTGGTTACAGAAAAGTGTTGCATAAGCTAAAATAGAGGAGAGAATTCATGAGGTCAGGTCAGAACCAACCAGCTTCTGTCTTATCCTCACACCATGCTTGGTCTAAGGTCCAGCCTCACACCACTTGTGAACAGGATTTCTTCTTCTAGTGGTTGATATACTCAGCAAGCCAAATCTTCAACCGTCTCTGATTTGGGGACATTGCTTGAGGGCTCAACAGCAGGCTATTGGGAAACTGAGGTTATGAACACCTCTCATACACCTAGTGTACATTAACTCCATAGACAGGCTGAGAGAGTTGGGGTTGTTCAGCCTGGAGAAGAGAAGGCTCCGGGCAGACCTTAAAGCAGCCTTCCAGTACTTAAAGGGGGCTTATAAGAAAGATGGGGACAGACTTTTTAGAAAGGCCTGTTGCGACAGGACAAAGGGTAATGGTTTTAAACTAAAGGAAGGTAGATTTAGACTAGATATACGAAAGAAATTTTTCACAATGAGGGTGGTGAAACACTGGACCAGGTTGCCCAGAGAGGTGATAGATGCCCCACCCCTGGACACAGTCAAGGACAGTGTGGACCAGGCTCTGAGCAACCTGATCTAGTTGAAGATGTCCCTGCTTATTGCAGGGGGATTAGACTAGATGACCCTTAAAGGTCCCTTCCAACCCCAAGCATTCTATGATTCTATGATTCTTACTCTTCTGAGTGTTTCTACTCCCTCATACTAGGGCTGTGTTCCACCTTCAGGTGTTATTGGGTTACAGCCCTGAGCTCTGCCCCATTGCATATCTGTGGAGTATTCAGAAAGGCATACATGGAGGCAAATGACATAAACTACATAAACTACAACATGAAGATACAAGAGAAAAGGTAGTAAGGGAGTTGTTCTCTGTCCCCTCTGGTAATAGTGAACCATCCTCGGATGAGCTGTGTGGCCTACAATCTCAGTTCTATGTGACTAGTTTATGCTTTCAGTCACGAATCCCTGGAGATGAATGTGAGACATTTCCAGCATTTGGAAAATGCCCCAGGACTGCAGAAAGGGGATGCTGGATTTTATTGATGTAATGGGTTCCTGGTCCTAGAAAGGAGGTTCAGATTTCCTACCTGATGGCAGGACGGAGAATTGCATTGCCAATAATAAAGTGCACTTTTTCTAGGTTGGACATAGGTCTCTCAGAGATCGAGCTGTCCTCTTGGAAAGCCTCTTCCCCACTTCTCAGCTGGTCTGTCACCTGAAAGAAACCAAGCAGAACCTCAGAGTGCTCTAGAAACCTCTTCTCTTACCAGGCAGCTCTCCCAGAAATGAAAGACATTCCTTCTCTATCTTTCTGGCTAAAACTCTTTCTGCTTAGTGCAGGAGCAGTTAGAAGCAGGCCATGCTTCCCCCCTTCCCTCTCAAGCTAACTCATAAAATGCAGTATTACAGCCCTATTACTGGCTGGAACTTTCTTGTACTGTCCTGTACAGCCCTAAGCACACGGTGGTTCTCAGTCTGCTCAGGGCTTTGGGCACACTGTTCTGTAATACCAACAAATCTCAATAATAAATTGTTCCCTGTGTTCAGGAGTCACCCTCCAGCAGGAAGAGATGGAGTTAATCTGCCAGAGAATAAGTGACAGCAATACACATGGAGATAGTATCAAAAGAAGAATAGTGCACCAGGTATCCCATAGACAGGGTTGCACCAGCTTGGCAGGGGAACAAGTTCCCAGCTGGGAGGTTGCTGTCAGAAGGTGAAGACAGGGTTCCAGGCAAGAAGACTTAGGGAAAGCAATTTATTTCCACCTCTTACCTTCCCTGTCAACTTGGATGACCGTTTCAGCTTCAGGGAAGAGATCCCCTTCGAAATCTTGTTATCCTTTCTGCTTTCTCTCTACAATACACATTATCATTATAAGAAATGAGTTAATGCACAGCAAGAATGATTCATTAAGGATGGAAAGATGCTCAAATGGAAATGTTTTTGTTTTGTCCCCTCGTGCCAGAGGAGCTGCAGTGTCCTTCCAGGACTGACAAGGGCCCTTTTACATTTCTGGCATTTCAAGTACAGCAGCATGAAACTGTTCCTTTACTTATCTCACTCTTGGTAGAACAGCACAGGAACCAAGGAAAGCAAATGAAAATACAGACATAGCCTGCTCCTCTCACCATATTTGGGCTGTCATTCCTGAACTGGACCTGGTTTTTCCTGCCAAGTGTGTCATAGATCTGTGTCATCACGGAGCTGCTCTTGGTGGTGGCATTCTTGGCAAACATTGCTGGCTCTGGCAGGTCCCCCATGAACCTCAGGATGATAACCCACACAACTAGAGAAGCCTGTAGTGGCAGAAAGCACAGTCAGACACTGCCAAGAGAACCAATGGCGTCACTGTTTCTGCCTGTTTAGATAAGAGCATTTTCTTCCTTTACCCAGTCCAAGTTGTTAAAATTCCCATCTCCTCCCACCGTTTACACCAGGAGTTTACTTTCATGTCGGACAACATCAGAGCAACATTCACAACTCTCTCAAGCTAAAGGAAGAGGGTGCAGCTCTAGTGGGAACGTCAGGTTTGCTCTGTGATTGCTGAGCCCTCACCGTTCCCTTTACTGGCACCTTGCAGGTGTGCTGTGGCTGGTGTGAGGCAGAGGCACCTTGGCTGAACTGCACTCTGCATTTACCGACCTGGACAGATAAGCAGTGGAGTGAACTCTTCCAGGAGCCCTCATGCCTAGAACTAGAAAGCCAAGTAATAGCAAAGTTTTTGCAGCATGGGATCCTCCATTCTGTAAGGCTTCTTAGCATCAAGAAAAACTCCCCTCCTCAATCTCCCCTATGGTCCAACAGGAAAATTGGAGGCCTGGGCCTCCCTCTTCTGTCCTAATTCACAGACCAGCAACCCTAACAAGAACAGAGAGATGAGTGAGCTCTGATTCTTCTTCTCTCCAGTCCACTTTTGCCCCCAAAGGGTATCTGGAGAATTCAGAACAAACCTGAGAGTTCCCTCTTTAGGCAGACTGAAGGTGACCAGAGATCTTGTGTTGGGCAGGTATCTGTGTGAAATGCCTGCCAAGTGCCAAAAAATGCTGATGGAAACTACTACTTTCATAAAAGTGCTTAGGACTATCTGCTTGGCTCTAAAGTCTCTGGTTCCCAGGGCTGTGCCAGAGGCAGGGGGACCCAAGGATGTGAGGAGCTGTAGAAGCCAGGGCTATGGAGAGAGAAGGTTCAACAACAAGGAGCAAGATACCAGGACATCGTCCTTGTCATCATGGTAGAGTAGTGGGTGCCGCAGCTGTCTCCGGATATGCGTATGTGTAGAAGACCCCTGGAAATAAGTAGCTGCAAACTTTGGGAAGGTGTACTCTTCCAAGCCATCTGCTTCCTCTTCTAGCTCCACACTCATAGGAACCATGTCCAGGTCCACCTCATCCAGCTTGTTACGCTTTGTTTCCAAGTCCTATGCGGAACGTGAGGAAGAAACATATTTTCTTTCC